TTTGTTAAATGCATTTATGCCTGATTTATCGAATATAAATTACATACATAAATATCTAAAAATAAATATACATGGACATCTACAGCTTGTGGCTTTTTTCTCGATCTGTTATTTATGGATATTCCTTTTGTTTTTAAATATTTGCATTACTTTTTGATTTTACTGTAATATATTTGCTCTTTTTTTTTTCATCTACTGATTTGTGCTCTTTGTGATGGCTCCTGCGCTGCTGCTGTTGCTGCGGTTTGCATTGAAAACATCTCGAAACTAAACAGTTATATAGACTGAGGTATGCCTAACTGTAAACATGCTAAATTGATGTATGCCTAACGGTAATCATCCATGTACATCCATGTATTTATTTATAATTTTAGTTTTAGTTTAGCTTTACTTCTCTTTTTTTGGTCAGTTCATGGGTGGCTGTGGGTGTGTTTTTGTTTGTGTGTGTGTGTGTGGGTGTGTGTATGTACATGTAGTCTGTTAAAATACACTGTTCTACAAAATTGTGTACAGCGTGTGGAAACAATTGTAACCAAACTGAAGAAAAACGCAAATGAATTTTCATTTCTTCTGATAATATTCATAGTATATATAAGCATATATATATGTGTGCTTATGTATGTATGCATGCATGAATACACACATACATAAACATATATATATATATATTCATATGTATAACCATATATATATATATATATTTATATATCATTTGCCTTTTATTCATTCATCAGTTTAAATCAATAATCAACATCATTTTATATAATTTCATATAATTTGTTTAATATTCAAGTATTTTGTTGGTTGGTTTATCATATATATAGTTTGCTGTTGTTGTTGTTGTAAGTTTTGTGTCTTGTGTTTGGTTTTGATAATTTACAGTTATTATTTGGAAAAGCAAAGTACGTTTTTTTTTTTTTTTTTTTTGGTTGGTTTATATGAACAATATTTCGTTAGTTATTGTGGAATTGTTTACGGGGTCTTTAAGACATTTATTTATTTATTTATTTGTGTAATTTAGATGAATTATATTACATAAATATTTGTTGCTTGGTATTGTATTCTGTATTGTATTTGCTGTGTCTGTGTGTATTTTTTTCATTTTAATTTTTTTGTTGTTTTTCTTTTTTCGACTTGGTGAACATAACTACAAACTGTGTGCGGGACTTCTGCCGATCCCCAGCTACGCATTATAATTATTTTGTAATAATTATTATAAATTTATATATACCATTTTTATGTTTATTTTTTACAGGACAAAAACATCTAATTTAATAGTTCAATTTACTTGCAATATGGAAATAATCAATAATAATTATGGCCAGCTCTCAATTTTCGGAATATGCTTGCAATTAAACTAATTGTTTACAGCATATTTAAGAGTTTTGTTTTAGTTGTTTCATATTCTCTGCCAGTTCATTGAGTTGGTATAACATCATAGAGGTTTATATATATGTATATATAAATGTATATTGTTTATATTTCACGTATATATATATACATATACATATACATACATACATATATATGTATATATATGTTTATATATATGCTTGAATATAATATATAAATAGTAATAACTATTATTGTTCTTAATATTTCTTGTTTTAACATTGTATTTTTTTTTTATTTTCATTTTCCATTTTAATAATCATTTATTTAGTATGTATATATAATATATATGCTCATTATGATCTAATATGCTTTTCCAAAATTATGATAAATCAAATACGAAAAGTTTTAGAGTATTAGAAACCTTAAGAGTTCGACATAAAGCAGAATGCAACTGAAAGCAAAATCAGCAATTGTTTTTCGAATTCAAAGAAAATTCCTAGAAATGAGAAGTTAGAGTAAACGTTTGATATATAAGTTAAGTAATTTATATAACTGATGATATATATTCCATTGAAATCACGATTTAAAGTTAAACTTTTGTTGTATTTGCTTTTATGTTGCTGATGTTATTTGTTTGTTTGTTTTGTCGTGTTTTTTTTTTTTCTACTTATACGTCGGAATTTTTTACCTCATATAACTTTTTCCGCCGATTTGTGTATATATAACATAAGTCTATGCAAGGGTTATACATAAATTATTTATATATATATTTATATATAGACTCGCAATATAATATATTTAGTTTACTTTTTTTTTGGTTTCTTTTCTCAATATGTCTGGCATGTTTGTTGTTTTTTTTTTATTTTTTATTTACTTACACCGTTATAGTAATACATAATGCTCCATAATTAAATATAAATAAATAATTTACATAACAGTTTATTTTCTTTTTCTTTTTAATTTTTATTATGTCTAATATTTTCATTGATTTACTAATAAATTTTAAACAGTTTGCTTGTATTTCTTTTATCCATTCAATTAAAAAATAAAAATGATAATATTATAAAATTAAAAATTTAGTTTGTCCTTTCACCATTAAATTAATGTCTGAATATACATATATGTATTATTTTATATATTGAGTATATAGACTTTTGGAATTGAATTTTCAACATACTCGTAGAATTTGTTTTCAATTTTATTTAACTATATTTTTTATGTTTCAACAATAAACGAATTTGAAATGAAATGAGTTTAATTTAAATGGAATCATTTTAGTAAATAATTTTCCTATTGGACAAAAATTTGCATAAAAATGTCTTGGTTAGAACTTAAGCGTTTAGTTCTTTCTGGAATGGAATGGTTTCGCTTTGTATTATCATTTATCCTTGATCTCATTTGTATGAACTGCACGACAAGAACATTTTGCATTAACTATGATATTTTGTATTGATTGTTGTTTGGGTTTTTCTTGATTTTTGTAGGTGTCCTTCACTAAGGTTCTTGATGATCCGATGATCCGATACGATTTCAATGTTGACGGTTCGCTTGAGTTCTCTTTGGTTATTTGTTTGCATCTTTCATATGTTATATGTATGTGTGATACTAAGGTGTGCTGTTATTCTGAAAATGTAATGTAATTGCATTATAGAGTGCAGATTAGAAGAGGATCTTCCTATGTTATTTACCTGCATTGATCAGCTATGTCGCGTTTACTTCATATTCTTTAGTATTTCATCGGTTTCCTCGGGATCCTTGAGAGTGTGCCATTGTGCTATGGGTCGACGTGGCGAGGCCAGCATATCGGACCAATGACGCAATTCGGTGCCGGTGGCCATGCAGCCAAGTATACAGCGTCCGATCGGCTCGGAGGTGCCAATACGATCGTAATCCACAACAGTAACAACAAGACAGATTTTCTAAACAATTTCCAAGCGGTTGGCAATGGCAAAAAGCAGAGCGTTAGTTTATACGTATAATCAATCTGTAATATTCATCATCTAAACGGTCACTTGAAACGGGGGGATGGAGCTGCTATGCGTGGAGCATAGAATTTGTATTGGGATGTAGAACTTTTTGCCGAGAGATAAACGTGTTTTGTATTTCCTTCTTTGAATTTGGGGTATTGAGTTGGGAGGGAACTGTTTATTGTCGTTTTTGGGAAGCATTTTACATAGGCATAGTTGAACTACAGTTATTTGGGTGCTCTGTTGGAACAAGGTGCAAGAGTTAACGGTTATGCAGAGTTTTGGTCAGGAGTCCTGGAACAGCCCTTTATGGGCTTAAACAGAGCTGTAGAGCTTACAGAGAAGAGAGCGAGTCTCATCAGAGTGGGGGTACAAGCTTTAAAGGAGTTTTATCTAAAAAGGTGGGCGACATATTTTCAAGCATTACAAAAAGCGCCATTAAATACAATTTCTAAAGTGAATGAAGTAAAGCTGGGTCCATGTTTGGAATGGATTTTGTTTTATTTTATTTTTCGTTATAACAAGCATTGCATGCATTTGACTAAGCTTTAAAATAAAAATGAAAAAACCAAAGAAAATGAAATGTAGAGATATTGATAGATAGATAGAGAGAGAGTTAGTTGAAGTGAAAAGCGCATGAGTGTCCCTCGTATTTGCTGGTGTAATGATCTTATAGAGAAATGTATATTGGTATAGTTCACGTCTCTTTAACCTGGGCTAATGAACAAATTACTTTTTATTTGATATATAGCTATATACAACATTTTGTCAACATTTAAGCTGAAGCAAAAAGAAAAATGTTCATTAAATACGTGTAAACGAAAATGTATAATATTCAATCCCATTTGTCGTACATATTTTTCCTAGTCAGAATACGAAAGTTTCCTTTGCGTTGCTACTCAGGTTTAGTGGGGGCGAATTTGGGGGGCAGGTCTTGGACTAGCAGCCGAAGTTCTTGAGATATGGTTTGGTTTTCAACGTTGTTTGGAATGTGGTATGTTATGTTATGTTGATACGCTATACTTCTCTTTGGTGTTCTCATATAGTATATATACAAAGTATATATAGATATGCTTAAGCTTGTACTGTATTTCTTGTATTGTAGTAGTACTGTAGTTTGAGTGGTTGGTTGTTGTTGTTGTTGGTGGTGGTTGGTGGTTCGATATTCAAATCAGAAGACAGTGTCAAAATAATGTACCCATATTGTGGTGCATTATTGACGCCGCTGACGATAGTTTGCGATAGTTTGTATTATGGAAAGAGTAGTAGTAGGTAGTTTATAGGTTTTTCTTTGTAGTTTCTTTTTGTAGTTAAAGAGTGAGTGTGTTGAACCTCAATTATCGCGAGACAGAAATAGAGATAGAGTGAGAAAGAGAAAGAGATAGAGAGTGCGAGCAAGAGCGAACGGCACTACTGCTCGCTGCTTTTACCGGAATCTGTAGCTACATTTTACGTTTTGTGTGTTGTGTTCTCTGAGGTGTATCTGAAATTCTTGTGTAGTTTCAACTACGAAGCGCAACGAATCCTAAACCTAACACAACAAATTGTCATTGTCTGTGTCAAAATCAACATAGAACATATATAAATATTTATATATATAGATAGATAGTTTGAAAAACCAAATCAGAATCAGAATCAGAGTCAGAGAGCTAAGCAATAAAATTAAAAATTATTTTTAAAATATTTTCACTTAATCAATCTCAATCAACTACGAAACACAAAAGCAAATCAGGGCAAGTTTTAAATATTTTTGGTTTCATATTCGCAAACAACTTGCTGCGCTCAGCATCTTAATTGTTATTATTTACAGCCGGCATGTGGGCGTGGCAGTCGTTGAGCGAAATATACATATAGGAACACAAAACATAAAGCAAAAAGTGTGTAATTTTTTTTTGGTTTTTTTGGTTAAATACAACATTGAACATTGAATACGTTTTCGGTTAAGTTATACAATATATATATTGTTTTTTGGGTGGGGCACACATATAACATTTAAATAAGTTGTAGGGTTTTTGGAGGGTTTTCTGGGCAGTACGAAAGTAATTTTGTAGTTTGTTTGCTTTTGGCTAAACATTTTGATTTAAGAGTTCGGCAGTAGAATACGAATATTCAATAGATGTAATGTACATAATATATATTTATATATATGTATATATAAAGATAGTTATATTAACAACAACAAATTGCACGAATAAGGGCTAAGTGTGTGGTTTGAGTTTGGAAGGCGGGTTTGTTGACTGAAACTTGTTTTGTTGTTGGTTGATAGTTCAGAAAGGAACAGCTTTTAGGTACAGTTGACAGTAGGTAGTAAGTAGTAGTAGCAGTAGTATTGGTAGTAGAGTAATAGTAGTAGTAGTAGTAATAGTAGTAGTAGTAGTTGTAGTAGTAGTAGTAGTAGGTTTTTATAGGATAGTATAATACATTCTCGCATACTTGTATTTGTTCAAATGGTACTTCAAATGAGAACGACTCATTATAGTAAGGGTTGAGGGTGCATTTTTTGATACTTGTCTTCTTCTTTTTCAAACGTTTGCCATTTTGCATGATTGCAATTTTCACATATGGATCTATAAAATAGAAAAAATTGAAAGAAAGAAAAAGAAAACATTTTCTTTTATAATAATAAAGTAAAAGTTTGAAATTGATGAGCAGATTTTTGTTTTTTAGCTTTTTTCTTAGTTTTGTTTGTTTTGACAGTTTACACACATACATATAACGAAAAACGGTACTTGGATTGTTAATAATAACATATATGTATATATATTATCGATTATAGGATTAGTGAACAAATTTTACGTCAATAAAAAGAAAAGGAAAAACGTATTAATGACCAGAACAAATGAAAGCAGAAACGTTTGGGTAAAATAAAGGCCGATCCCATAGAGGGATGTGAGGCAACTATAGAACTTAGAAAGTTAATAAACTCTTATATGCTTTGGGTTCAGCATTTAAGGTTTCATCGCATTGAAACGTATCAACATATGGAAAATCGCAAGATTTACAAAGAGCCCATGAAAATAGAATTGACACGATGCGTTGATCGTTGATCGTTTAGCGTTTATCGATAATTATTGCTATTCGAAGATTTGTTTCCACTTTCGTTTGCCTGCTCATGAAAAGAATTATTAAAAATCAAATATACATATATATATATTTATTGAAAGATTTAGTTAATTAGTTTAACGATAATATTTTGGAACATTTAAACACTTGAAACTCAAGGCGAACAACAACGAAATCATAATATACGAAAATATATAGTTATTTAAGTTAGATAGTCTCATCATATTTCAGAATTTCAGATCGAATAACATTAGAGCATGGAAAGAATGTCAATTGCTTCTTCAAAAACATACTTGAAAAATGTTCTGTTGTTTGTAAAAGCCTAGAAGAACTTGAAAACTTCCTTCATTAAAGGAAGTTTCTTTTGGTTTTTGGATATATTCGGCGGCAACGTTTGCATTTGGTTCCCCTCTAGGTCGAGGAGTTCCGAAATACTTAATGCAAGTGTTTGAATTTCAATTGATGTCGATTGAGTAGTTATTAAATAACATGCAAAAGTGAAGCTAGAAGCAAGCGAATTTAAATATACCGCTAATCTTTGATAGCAATAGCCGTTCGAATTTAGCATTCTATACGTTTTTGTTTTTGTTTTTTTTTTTTTCTTATTAAAAAAAGTGCAGTATTTTTGGGTGATGGGAACGTTGCCGAACGACAATATATCCATTGATTGGTATTGAATGATATTTATTTATTTATTTTTAGCGTACGCAAAATATTACTTAAGACTTAGAGACAAATAGAGAGATAGAGAGAGAAGAGTATTATATAAAAATATTATGCAAGTCGAAAATTTGCGCTAAAAATTAGTTGAAAAATCGAATATTGCGAATTGACCAAAAAAAATTAATTGGGTAGAAAAAAACGTTGGAAATTGAATACTTTGCTCGATGCAAACGTTGCCTTGGCGTTTGCATTTCATCATTTGATCTTGATACGAAACCAAAATAAAGATAATTACTCAAAATCAGATCAGAAACAAAGCAAATACCAAAACTGAAATACACTTGGTTATACAAATATAGATATACACATAGATATAGATATACGGGAGAGTATTTAAATAGACACTGAAGCGTTGCCAAAATTGTCGGCGATTCAAATGGGGGAATCGCCGTTCGCATTTGGACAACGCTTTGGTAGCACGCCATATTACCAGACAATCCACCGACGTCCATCTTCTTCAAGTTCTTGGCCTCGAGAATGACAACCGTTAGCTTTCCGGCGGTCGGCACATAGCGCAGCGAGAAGCAGATGTCACCAAGCTTTTCCTGTTTGTTGTGCGACAGAAAAGAGTTAAGAAAACGAAATTGTTTTTATGGATTAGTGATTTTGGTTCAGATACAAGATTTGGGTTCACAACATTGAACACTTTACATAAGGTCTAAGAAAATTGTTGGGTTACATTTAACACGATTTAGATACGAATACAGATAAATATATATATTAGCTAGGTTTTTGTTCGAGACGGGCGGAAGGACTTTTCAGGATATGCTGAAGAGGCTCTATGAGCAACATTCTTGGCTGAGCTCTGTGAAGGAGCTTAACGATATTTCGATTGGAAGTAATCGAACTATATCCCTTGTTCTGGGATGAGAAACCAATAGAAATTCATATTGAAGGTGGTTAAATTATTAAGATATATAAATTCATTCAGATTCTTTATTTATAACAAAAATCGATTTGCCATAATTTTCTTGAGGACATATCAAAGTTTAGTTGAAGAGCTTTCCAGGAAATAAATAAAAATGGAAGTTAACAGAGTCCGCTTGAAATATCAATTAAAATCTAATTACGATATTCGAATACGATATAAGAATAGAATATAGGAGGATTGCAGACAAACAGTCACTATATATTTGTACTGTTTGCACATTAACTAAAACAGATACATATATCCGCATATAGCCATACGGGGACAGTTTGGGGTGACACGTAGTACTCGTATACAGTTAATTTAGTTGTTTTTAAGTACATATTTAAACAATAGTGTTACATTAACTTGATTTATAGTTTAATATTGACACAAAACGAAAACGTCACAAATAAGTACATGGAAATACATTTACTGCACGTCTTAGAGCTTCGATTTGTTAAAGTATATGTATGTATATATGCACACTTGTCTATACACGATATTGAGTGTATAGTAGCATGTATATGTATGTGAGTAGAACTGAAAATTGATTATGAACTAAACCTAAACAAATAAAACAAACTCATTTACTTTTGTTTGCGTGTTATTTGTTTATCTCCTTGTAGTTTTTGTTGTTGTTTAGTTGTTTTTTGTTGTAGTTGTTGTTGTACGGAGTTTTTGGTTTTATTTATAGTTTTGGATGTATATTGTTGTTGTTGCTATTTACTGCTCAAAGACACAAAACTTACGCACAAGTCATAATGCTTATAGACAAACTGTATATCAATTAACCCAGCTCAAAACCAACGGCGCAAAAAGCAAAACGGAGTGTTTTTATATTGTCAATAGTTTTGATATAAGAAGCGAAACGAATGTGTGAGAGAGACAGACAGAGAGAAAGAGAGTGAGAGAGGTTCAAGACAGCCAATTCGTAGGATATGTACAGTTTGGCTACGTTTCGTTTTGGATAACTAGGCGGGCCTCAGAGGCCTCAAAAAAAATGTAGTAAGTATTTACGAAAAAAAAAAAACAAATGTATACATATATATATACGATATATAGAAAGAGAGCGAGCGAGAGATTAGAACGAGCTAAAGTAAGTGAATATTATTTATGTCTATGTACATGAAAGGCATCACAGAGTAATTATAGTTATATAAATATATTACAATCGAGAGATAACAAAATTATGATGTCTAGCATTATCTAAGTAGAATACTTTAATGATATTGTATATAAACCCTGAGTTGGTTGGAACCATTTGCATTTGTTTGGGTATCGATTTTCAGTTTTCGATCTGCGATTTGCGATTTTCGATTTGGATTTCGTTTTCTCGTTAGACATAGACTCTAATCAATTGCCAATTGCTTCAATTCAGTTCTCCAAAGCCAAAGCAATTTGTACAAACTAACCTGGGATTTTGTTGTGAAATAATTGTTGTTTGGTTTTTTTTTTAATTTGTTTAACTAAGTGTGTTCTTTGAATAATTAAAGTTTAAAAGTAAATTAATTTATATAGAGAGCGAGCGAGCGAACGAGCGAGCGTTATATATTAACAGAGTGAGATAGAGAGAGAGAGAGAGGAACAGTAATTTATATATATATATATATTTATATATAGAGAGATATAGAGAGAGAAAGAGAGAGTGAGATTGTTTTTTTTTTTCGAGTAGTCACTTACCGCTACTTTGGTTTGAGTTTAGAATTTGAGTTTTTGAATTGAAAGTTTTGGCTTTGCATGGGCTTTCAAAATGTCTCAAGACTTTTTCATGTCGAATGTTGAATGGTGAATTATGTTTATGCTGACCATAATAAAAACAAATCATAAGCAAAATATATAGAAAAGTAAGAAATTGAATAACTCTCAAATAAATCAAAATAATGGTAATTAAATCAAATTTGTTGATCATTTGTTTTATATATATATTTGTTTCTGACTGTCATCGAAGCTCTGCTTAAACATTACAGCACACAAACAATTCGCAAATCATAAATATATTTAGGTATATATGTAGATATATATAATTGCATTATACATTTATCGGGCGAGACAGCGATAGAAGAAGAACATAAAATAGAATTTGGTCTATTAATCAAAATACGAAAGAAGCATTTTAACATTTACCTTAATGAAAACAAAAGTTGTTCACGTATTTTTTAAGTTTTAATAACAATTTTATTTTGCATTTAATTTCTTTTTCGTTTTTATTGTTTTTCTCTTTTTTGTTTTTGTATTATTTAACGGAACAAAACACAAACACAACGAAAATAACTTGAACACATTTATGAGGACAACAACCAAAGCAAATAACGATAATTATGAAGTTTCTCTCCCAAGGAGAGTTTCGATACTTACATGTTCGTTCAAGGCATTTCATTGGGTGTTCCAGATGTTGTTATTCGATATGAGTCAAATTTCGAGTTCGAGTAAAGTAGAGTTTTGGATATTGAATTTGATTTCAAAGATTTTTGTTTCAATTTTTGGTGAATTTTGAGTCGAGTTGTATAGATTTTTTTTTTTTTTTGATTGTTGATTGATTTTGGTTTTATTGTTTTTATTTGTTTTTATATTTTTTTTAGCGATACGTTTAAAAATAATTAAAGAGAAAAATGAAGAGCATATTAAAGATTTTTCAATTGCAGTTCCATTAATATTTCAATAAGTTGGCAAATTGTTGTTAAATCAAAAATAGTAAATGTTTTGCTTCAACGAATTTGTTTAAGTGTACAAGTTGTTTGAGTTGTGTCTGCGTGTCAGGGTATATAAATGTGTGTGTGTGTGCGTGTTTACAGGTGTGAGTTCAGCTTGCGTGTGTTGAATATAGTCAAAAAGTTTGTGTAGCGCACTAATATAGGTGGCATAAATGTCTCAAGTAGAGTATATAGTCGGAAGATAATAGTTCTTAAGCAAAAACATGCAGCTGAAATACTTTTCTTTTATATATATGTTTATGTGTTGTATGTACGATTGTGTTTCGGCTGTTAAACATAATTGGTTTTTTTTTTCAAATTTTTTTTTTTATACCGTACAATTGCAGTGAGTATATAATGGGGTTGAAGGAAAGACAGGTGTGAAGATTGCAGTAGCAATATATATTATAGTAGTATAGATAGTAAATGGCTAAAGGGTAGACTGTAATTAGAGCATCGTTAGACCAAAGACTAGGCCACTAGTGGGTTGGATAGTTTATATGTATATTACAATAAGTCACAAGCTAAGCCACAGCTAGGTTAACAGTAAAATGACTATGGCAAGTCTAAAATCACTCTATGGTTTTTCTAGCAACTGCCTGCAATTAGTCAACCGATGGTCTTAAGAAGGTTATTAGCTAGTGAAGTAATCGAGACTATTGATAGTCTAAGAGAAGATTTTGGGTAAATATTAAAAGTAGACTACAGCTTGAACATAGTCAGTCCTCATGGGATTTACTTTTAAATTTGATAGCTGCCAAGCTCACAGAAGGATATATTTAAATATCCCATTTCAAATGAAAACAAAAGAAATCCTAAATATATATGCACATGTTGGACAATCGGATATTCATTATTCTCAATAGTTAGCTATATATTCATATAGTTCAATATATTATCAATATGATCTCATCATAAAATATAATTATATTTTTGGTTTTTGTTTTATATTCTTTATTCATATTCCTTGTATAACCAATTATATACATATATTCATTCGTTATCATATTCACAAATTTTTACTGCAATTGTATGCAATATTCGGCTTACCGAATAATTTGATGTCTTTGCCTGTTATTTTTCTTCTTTAACTATTCTTTTCTTGTTTTCATTCATGTGGTTCAGTCTTTGTATGTAACTGTGTCAGTTTTTTAGTGTTTAGTGTGTTTGCGTGGTTTGTTTCTTCTTAGTATATAATCTTAATTGATATGTGAGTTGTTGGGTGCACAAGTTAAAGGCTACTTAAATGCAAATATTTAGCGGATTTTACTGTTGGGGCAGGGCTTTAAATAGTTCAAATAACAGTGCAAATTGAAAGGGAAAATTTGTGTATTTAGCAGACAGGGGGAAAAATGTGCATTGTTGAGTGGAAAATGTATGGCAGAGTTTTAGGTATTTTTACTAGCAATTCGTCTGTATAAGTTATAGAGATTTCCATAGATTTTATATACAGATATACATATATATTTATAATTTCGTAGACCATGCTATTTTCTTTAGTGATTATGCCACAAATCCTCTCAACAAAATAATATTGCAGTGTAATTATTTGCATTTGCAAGTTGATATAGACAATTTGTTAGAGTTATTAAACAATTCAACTACAATATTAATGATGCGAGAAAATATGCAGACATAACAAGAGAAATTTGTAGAACGATGCGCAACAAACTCTCTTAAGTACTTAGTTGGATATATTTGAGTAAGATTATCTTGGATATAGAATATATTTATATAATACAAGTATTCAGAGTGTATAGAGGGAGTGTATCTATACATAGGTGTGTGTGTGTGTGTATGTGTGTGTGTAGTTCGATGCATTAAAATTGTTATTTAATTATAATATGTGTTTGTTGTTGTTATTGTTGTATACAAGAGCGACAGACCAAAGAGACAGAGCAAGTTATATAGGATAAAGAAAACGAAAATGAAGGAGAACTAAACAAGTTTTTGTATGCATAGTAGGTGTATTTGGTTTTTGGGTATTTGTTTCTTTTAAAACTTTTTAGTATTTGTTTGATTGTATTTACCTTCTACAAAAGTTCAAGAAAACAAGAGTTTTATATTTGTAATATATTTATGTATGTATTGAAAACAATTTGTTGACGGGGGAATTGGAGAAAGAGAAATTGAAGAGTATTTTTATTTCAGTTGTAGTAGTAGTAGTTATTTGTACTTTGTGTGTGTGTTTTTGATTAGATTTGTTTTGTTTTTGGTTTTTTCTTTTGTAAAGGAAAATCAAAAAGTTTTCAAAATGATGTGCAAACAAATCAAATTGAGTATTTTATTTATTGGTTTTCATAATCTTTGATCAACTGTGTCCACATGAAACTTCAAGTTGATCAAAAATTAACGTAGCCTTGTTTTCCATGTTTGTCTTTTGTTATTGTTGTTGGTTTTGTTATTGGGTTTAATGGAGCATTACAACTGTTATATATATGTATGTATATATAGAGAGAGATAGATATATATGTATATACTTTTGAATATTATATCGAGTTGTTATTTAGATTTGCATTTCGAACTGGGTGTGTGAAGAGTAAATTGAAGAGAAACTTTGGAATTTGCTGTCTGTCATTTAATGTATTTACTTTGTTCATGTTGTGCTTGTCTTTGTAAATTGTTTCTGTTGTACTTTCGAGGACATTGAATGGAGCTGGGATGCTAAATACATTACTGGAGCCGACACACATTTTTACATATTTATTTTTGTTTTTGTTTGTTTCAAAATACGATTAGTAAACTTGGTCTCTGTTGTGGCGGGTCTTAATGTCATATTTGCGAATTACACATTACACACAAAACACAATTTTGAATAAGGTTGGTTTTTGTTACGGTAGCTCAGGTAATAGTACTCTGTATACTCTGTCTAGATTACATGAGTCAACAAATTCACACGCTTTGAGTTTGCTGTTTCTGTATTCTGTTTGGGTTTCTGTAGTTTGTGGCTTGTTCTGTGGGACAACTTAAACTAACCCAAATATCGAAATCAAAATGATAAGCAACAGTTATTGGTTGTTGTACTTGTAGTTGTTGTAGTTGTAGTTGTTGTTTGTTTGATTGATCCAAAGTGAAATCAAATCAATTAAAACTAAATAAATCACACTTAGAGGCACATTTAGTTTGTTAAGTACATATACATAGAGAGTTGTAAACACCAGGGATAAGCCGCCCTTATCCCCAGTTCAAAAAGAACCAAAAAGAAGAAAACTTAAATAACTTAAGTAGCTGATATAAATGTATATAGTTTTGTATATACATATACATAGATATGTGTGATATTCATAAAAATATATGAGGCTGCCATGGGCCACTCTCTACATACCTGTCCACCCTCACCCTCAACGCTGATCAGGTCGCGCCATTCCTCAATGGTCTGTGCCAAGTCGATGGTACACAGTGGCACCTTCACCTCGCCGATTTGGTCGTGTTTCGAGAAGCGATCAAAGTCAAATATAGCAAATACGAGTGTCTTGTTCATGGCATCGGCATAGGGTAAACTCTGCGTGCAGACGCCAAGTGAGATGGGCGAGCTTCATTATATCCACTATAGTCAGGCTTACCTTGAAGGTGAATGTCTCGTTGAAGACGGGGCTCAGGGTCTTACGATGCACCTTTGTCTCGAACTTCTTCTTCTTGTCGGGCAGCAGATATACCTTCACATAGGGATCTGAGGTGCCGCCCATATCCAGGGCGGGCAGCTCTTCGGCCTGTATAACGGTGACGGCCAAGCTATTCGAGTTGAAATCGTATTCAAGCTGCAAGACATAGGTTATAGAATAATAGCCGCAAGCGCGGTATTCGTTCCCATAAGCAAGAAAGAGATGGAATAAACGATATTAGTTGACAAGTTGCAATAATAGGAATTTACAGTTGGATAAATGTGTTATGGACTCTTGTATGCTGCATTCTAATTTTGTGTATTTTATTGAGAGATTTTCTGCGTTTCAATTTGCTTCGATGGCATACAATATTATTTAAAATACTTTTTCCTTCGTTTGGTTATAAAAATATATTTAATATGCATAAAAACTATGCGTAGCAACAGAAGACACAGCAGCATCCGGCCGCCTCGAGCCTCGATTGCCCACTGCATTTATTCACCAAGCGCATTGCGGAGAGCAAGCATAAGTAGAGCCAGTACAAAGAGAGCAACTTTCCTACTATTGCAGTTCCAACATTAAATACTCTCACAAAAATAGCAGCATCTCTTGCTCTCTTTCCTTATGTTAGCTTTCTTTACTGCGCTTGCTGCTCACTTTAATTATGACTTATTACCATAGCTAGCTGTCTCTTTTGCTCATACTCTTGGAAACAATAGAGAGCAGCCGAAGACATCGGCTTCGAATGTAACGAGCTCGCTCGCGATCAGCTCGCAGCCGTTTTGTTTTTGTTTTATTTCGCTGTGGCTGTTCGCTGACTGCTGTGCTGAGTATGGTATATGTATTGGTGTGTAGGCGCTCGCGAGCTCAATTCACGTACATGTGTATGTGTATGGGAAGACCGTTTGCATTGACTTTGAATTGTTGCTCATTTACTAAGTCTCATTGCACAAAAGCCAATCGTGGCGCACCTTAAAGGCGCTGAACAGAAAACAAAGACGAAAAGACCCGAAGTCTCTCAGAGCGAGGCAGAGAGAATATGTTTTTTTTTGTTTTGGTTTTGTTAGTGTTTTTTTTTTTTTTTTTTGCGTACTACGATTTAATATTGAAATTATATTTTAGGGAATATTAATGAAATTCTATGGCTGCTATGAATATTAAAGACCATACATGTATTAAGTAAGCAATGTAACGAAATACCAGCAGTTTATCTAGCCGAAATAATTCAAAATCTATAAAGTATTTTAAATAATTATGTATGCCAAATATTTCTTGGTAAAATTGCTCAAAGAAATATGCAAAGGAGTTGCCAAATTTCAATTAAATGAAACAGCTTTAGCGTTTGTTCAGATCAATACTACAAATGTTGTGGGAAAGTGATTAAGTTAGGCAAATATTAGCGTAAGGTATGTAGCTTAAGGTACGTATTTCTGGCAAACACTTGACGCGACTTGACTTGACTTGGCTTGACTTGAATTGGCTTTACTCGACAGCTGTTTCCTTCATAGTGTATATAAAAAACAGTTAAACAACGGCAGTGCATTGACATTAACTAGATCTGGTATTGGATTAGTTGGGTTAGTTGACAGCGTGTTGCAGGCCATTTGCATTTGCATTTGCATTTGTGGCGAGTTCAGTGGCTTTTGGGCGGCGTTTAGGAATCGAGGCTTACCTTGAAGTTGAGACGCCCCAGCTTCTGCTCGCTCTGCTTGTCCTCTTCGTCGCCTTCTTCGGCATTTTCGGTGAGTTCCTCCATATCAGGCTGAACCTATGGCATACCAGAACCCAATAACTACTAAGATTTGGTGGCATTGCAGATACTTACTTTCTCCTTGTAGGCCGATCCCAACAACTGTACCGATTTCATATCGACACCCTTCTTACCCTTACCATCTTTGGTTCTTCGCTTCTTCAGGAATCTGCGCACACAGAAAAATATGATACCAAAGACGACGAGGAATACGAGTATTATAATCGCGACCACGCCCCATGTGGGCAGTCCAGTGCGTTCAGCAATTGCCTCAGTGACCACCTCGCCAGCATGCTCAATCTTTTTGATAACCGGCACGGATGTAGTAGCAGCTTCTACATAGATTAAACCCGAATATATCCAATCTTTGGTGATCGCGATCCATCAATGTTGGGGAACTCACCCTCAGCCTCTGTTGTTGTTTTTGGTGCTATTGTTGTTTCCACTTGTGCAATTCTTTGACTCTCGGCCGCCTGCTGCTCCTGCTGCTCCAGTTCCCGAAACTTGGAGTGATGTGTCGTTTCTTCCAGCTTCTGATTGGCCGTCTCCAGCTCGGCCGCTGGCTCAGCGCCTGACACAGGCGCCGGCTCTGGCTCCGTTTCCGATTTCGCGTTTGGCGGCATATTGCACTGTGATTATAACTGAAATTAATTGAATTTTAGGAAGGGATTTAGTTAGAGTTGACTAGAATTTATGGAGGTACTTTTTTTTTTAATTTGTTTGATTATTGTTGAATTTATTATAGCTGAATGCTTTATAATTATAAATCTTTTTTTTATAAATATGAATTAAATGTTTGTAATGCTATTATATATATTTATAAAAGACCGCTCTATTAGCTTTGCTTCTAACCTCGATCAATATCGATTAGATTATAAGCTATAAGTTAGTAACAATTATTATATATTTTTTCATAGTATGCATAATATTATTTTGTTTGATTGAGTATGAGGCTGAGTCAAAAAAAAATTATTTTTATAAATGCTAATATATAATATCAAAAGTAACTCTGAATTCTTTATATTATTCAAATCATCTATAAAACTATGCTACTGCTCGTCCTTGCTTTGCATTACCGAATATAGCGTAATATAATGCTATATTATGTATATCAGCATTTGGAACCCGAGCTGTGTTATCCCATATATTATGCATATACATATCTTGCATTTATGTAAGTGAAATCTGACTTCTTTCTCAGCTAACCTTCGTCAATTATATATAATAGCTCTACTCTGGTTTCTCTGACATTCTTTCCCACTAAGAGCTTAGTTATTACACTATTTTTAAGAAAGAAAATTGCTCAAGTTTTCCTTTTAGAAACTTTATTTTGCTCGCCAGCAATCGTCGTTTAAGAATAGCGAGAACAAGGTTCAGTCAAGAAATCCCACAAACGTCGCTGGCAATTTACGCTTGGCATATCCTTGGAAGCACTAGAAATGCCGCGAGGGTGTCGACAATTGGCGCAGCAAGTAAAAGTACTTATGAATAGCATGCCAAGGGCACGCACTCACACACATACAGACATAATAATACGCCCACGCACACAGCTACACACAGACAGCTTAACCCCCGCATATACTTTACTGCTTCCATTTTTATTTCTAATTAAATTCATTTGTATTAAAACCCCGTTTACCCTCTGCCGCTGCTTCTCATAATTGTTTCCTCTTCCATTGTGCTTCGATAGAAGTGAGCATTATTTAATTAATGAATTATTATTTGTGCCAACGCAGCTTGAGTCGCGGTTAATCTAAACGGAATTGCGACTCTTTATCAAAGGCAACTCGCAGTCGCAGTTGCCTTTGACCTTCAAGACGGGGTCCTTCGGCTGTCCTTATTATCATTATTGGCTGTCACTTTTTGTTCTTTGCTTAACATTGAGCTGCCTGCAGCAGCTTGCTGTAACTGAAAGCCCGCACATCAAATAATTGGCCAATTAAATATTGAATGGCTTGCCATAAGGGAGACTCTCAAGCATGATATGAATATGATTTGAATTTCTTTTGATTTGTTGAATTTCTTTGAATTTCACTTTTAATCACGTCCTATTATGATTTTTTTTGATTATCATTAATTTTATACCATGTTTATTCGATTTTTTTTGTAGTTGCTGTGAATTAAAGATGTTTCTCTACCCGTTTCAAATCTGCTCAAACTCACACTTAAATGAATTTAAAATAAAACAAATTCCACAAGAAGATTTTTGCTTTGATGTCTCTTAAATCAAAGGTGAACCTTTTTGTCTGCATAGTATATAAGCAAAGATGAAAATTCTTGGAAAAACATGTTTTCCAGCTGACTTAACCCTTGAAGCACTTTCGCACTCACAACGCATTTTATTCATGCCAATTTATAGTTTACTTATTTTTAGCTGCATCTACTTAGCTTTCAGTTGGCAGAAGCAAAATAAATATGCTGCCATCGTGGCGTATACGTAATTTAATGCGAATGCGACCGCCGATTGCTGCCAGCTGAACTGAGCTGCTCTTGCGCTTGTTTGGACATCAAATGACGTCAAAGGTAATGGGAAACTCAGCATATGAAGTCCCGCACTTTTCGCACTCCTCGCGGCCGCAAATGCAAATTGGTTCCACCCACGCAGAGCCTCGACCAAGCTAGTTCATAAATATGCGTAAAATACAAATGCGTGCTCGCATTTAAATACAAATGCCAGCTGCTTATGTTGACTTGGGCCTAGTTAGACGTGGGGTGGTCAGCGGGCGCACTTTTGCCTGGAAGATGTTGAATTTGCCTCTTGCCAAATATTCGCTGTGGGCCTTTAAAGGACACTCGTGCCACGCTCGGGCCACGCCCTGCAGTCGCTTCGGGGCGCATGTGGCGCCAGCGAGCGATCCAGCCACAGGCACTTGAGTAAACATTGGCGACACTTTTCGCCAAATCAATAAATTTAAATGACGAGGCTCAAAGACAATTTGGCCCGGGGCAAAGCTTGTGAGTGGTGCAAATTAGGACGTCACGCCAGCTAAGTGGCTTAAGTGAGTTCCAATTGCAAATTGAGTTTACTTGAGCAGCTCCATGAGAGCACAATGAAAGGTTAACGAACATAAATAAGTTAAGTTGAATGAGATTTCCGATTGAAGCTGCGCGAGAATTGCCAGTGAAATATTTTCCCATAGACTTTTTAAGTAAACTTAGCTGAGACAAGCTGAAGAAGGCTAATGGAAATTGAAAATCTTTACCTTGCAGCTGGAACTTCTACAGCTGCCAATCTATCTAAAAAACCCTTTCAAGTTTATTTCCATTGCGCTATAGAGAACAAGGGTTGCTCGAAGACTGCTGCTAGCTGTTGCTGCTGTGGCACTTCAAGTTGTTCGTTTTAGCTACCCAAGCACCTGCCCCACTTAATTTCAACTTATGAAATATTAATGCAAAGGCAAGGGAATCGACTCGGAAAAATACAAGAAAAAAATTGGAGCGAAGAGAAATAAAATAAAACAAATTTGGCACATTTCGTACATGATATTTTATTAATGCCGCAAATCACAAGCTAAATAACGATTTCTATGCGAGACAGGCCAAGAAGATGCGGAGACTACTCGGAAGAGCTGTCATAAAACGGGCAACAAAGGCGACAGCACAGCAATTTATGGTTGCTATGATGTGTGTGTGTGTGTGTGTGTGCAACTAGCAGATACTTCTACTACTTCTTTTTAACAACCACAAAGTACCCACACACACACACTTACAAAGCTACACAACTACAGGCAAACGCATGCACTTTATTGTAGCATACATCTGAGCGCAGCCACAACAATTTTTTGTCATTTTGCCAGCGCTACTTTTGCGCTTTCTTTTCACATCTATCTCGCTCTCTCTCTGTCTCTCTCTGTCTTACTCTCCCTTGAGCACACAGGTCAGCTAGGTGTGCATGTGTGTGTGTGTGTGAGTTGCTTTTTATGATGTGCCTGGTGACCATTTGTCTGGCCCATTCGGGTAGCAAAACTACGCAGTTTTAACTGTCGCGCAACAAATACAAAACTTTTGGCTCGCAAGTCGCAAATGCTTGATATCCTGGGTGCTTTATTTTATTAAATAAATTGG